GTATAACTTCCGTGTGATTTACAAGAAAGGAACAATTAATGAAGCCGATTACCTGAGCCGTCATCCTACCACCATTCAACGAAAAACTACAATCGAAGAAAAGATTGCAGATAATTATGTGAACTACATCATTAACAATGCTGTACCAAAGTCAATGACACTTCAAGAAATCAAGGAAGCCACCTTGTCGGACACCATTCTAAAGAAAGTTTTAGAATGCTTGAAATCGGGGAAATGGGAGGAGGATGTGGAACTGAAAGCTTACCAAATGTGCGCGGAAGAACTAACAGCAACGAAAACAGGAGACCTTCTTCTCAAGGGCAGCAGAATTGTTATACCAAAAGCGCTACAAGACCGTGCGACGCAACTCGGACATGTCGGACACCAAGGAATAGAAAAGACTAAGGCGTTATTGAGAGAAAAAATATGGTATCCTGGGATGGATGGTAAAGTAAAGATCCTCGTTGAAAACTGTGTTGCCTGCCAAGCTGTTGGTCCAAGTAATCCTCCTGAACCTATGAGAATCACTCCTACAGCGACGGAGCCATGGCAAAGCTTAGCAATCGATTTTTATGGCCCTATACCACACAGTGGACAATACTTACTTGTCGTGACTGACACATACTCTAAGTTTCCAGAAGTACAAATTGTTACGTCAACTTCAGCGAAAGCCTGCATTCCGAAGTTAGACTGCATATTTGCAACTCATGGTATACCGAAAAAGATTAAAACTGATAATGGACCACCTTTTAATGGAGATGATTTTAAAAGATACATGGCTGCCTTAGGAATTGAGTGGAAAACAAGCACTCCGTTGTGGCCCCAAGGTAATGGAAATGCCGAAAGCGTGATGAAGCCGTTAGGAAAAGTGATAAAAACTTCTATGTTAGAGGGAAAGAATTGGAGACAAGAACTTCAAAGATTTCTATTAAATTACCGCTCAACACCGCATGCCACCACAAAGATACCTCCATGTGAACTATTATTTAATCGAAAGGTGCAAGGAAGTCTACCCGAGCTGTCAACACAAAATGTTGTAAACAAGCACCAAAAGGCCAAGGAAAACATTGACAAGAAGAAGATCAGTAATAAGCAGTACTACGATGCCAAGAAAAATACCAAAACATCCAAGATCAAGGAAGGGGACATTGTTATCTGTAAACAGAAACCAAGCAACAAGTTATCTCCAAGATTCAATCCCGAGCGATTTACGATCGTGGAGAGGAAAGGCGCAACAGCTACGGCACGAAATGGCAGACGCACCATCACCCGTAATGTGACTCATTTCAAAGTAGTCAAACCTGCAGACGAACAAAGTAGTGATGAAGAGAAGTCAACTACCGTGGAAGATGTACAGGACAGCAGGGTCGGAGATGATATGCAGGACTTTATAGAAGAAAGTCACCCGATATCAAGAAGATCAACGAGAAATCAACGACCTGTAAATAGATTTGGTCACTCAATACCATCGGGACTTATTTCATAGAACTTTAGTATGATATGAACAATAACGAACAAGTCATAGTTATTCCTTTGAGTTTTGTTTTAAAAAAAAAAAAAGAAAAGAGAACAATGTAGTGATTGACAGTTAAACATAGTTGATAGAATAAATTACAATAGGCGGGAAAATATAAGGACACATGTATTAGGGCGCCAGGAAGAAACATTGAGTGTATTTAGTAAGGAACTGGAAAGATAATAATAAGATTGTTTGATTACTACAGACTATATACGTGCTATTGCACATAACTTGTAAATAATAAAATATGCGTGAAAGTTACATTAAATGTTATTTCAAGACGTTGTTTCAAATAATTGAAATGTCAGTGAATTCTCCTGTCGGCCAAATGTCCTGATGACTAAATGTCTGTCGGTAAAAGGTCCTGTCGTTCAAACGTCTGTCGGTCTAGTGTCCGTCGGCCAAACGTCCGCGCACCCCAATTAAAATGCATTTAGTAATGGTGCATTTATTATATGGCAAGCGTCACTTCCGGTGAAATGACGGACTGTGATTGGCTGAGAAGAACCGTAATGGACCACCGGTCCATTACGTAAAAACAAATGCATGCATTTTAAAACAAAACAGCAAAACTAATTGAAAATTATAATTTAATTTGTTATTAGTAAGATATCTGCGAATGGTTTTTAGTGGAAAAGAAGAAATACATTGGTATTTTTTTGTTTTCTTTGACCAAACGTGTACCGCGCTACTAATATGAATTTCAAATCATGCATTTCTTGTTTGTTTCAAGTATAAATGCCTATAAATGCCATATAATAAACTTTTTATTAACCTCGCTTGCTCGATATGTACAGAGAAATAACGGACCTCGGTCTTTTTGTCCTTTTTGTCCCTCGGTCTTTTTGACCTTGGTCCGATATTTCTCTGTACAGACCTCGCGTTCGGTTAATAACAAGTTAGTAATGCACCCTCCTTCATTATTTTATTCTGTTTAACACCAGACGATTTTACTCATCAAGAGTGGAGGCTGTTTAACGGCAGACAATTTTACTTGTCAAAGAAAGACAGCTGGCTCGATAGGTTGATATGGAAGTTGACATTGATTATTTGATTTGTGTTTTTATCTAAAACAGATTCCTGATTGTGATAAACCATCAAGTTCAGTGGAAAACCAGGTTCAAAACTTAATATATTGCTATTACTTGTTACTTGTTGTCTTGTACTGTAGGATGTAATTCTGGCTTTTCCAGATTGAGTCAAATAATCTAGGGCTGGTTATATAAAACTCTAACTACTTTTTATCAACTATTTTGTAGTTAAACAGTAATTAACCCCGGTTGAAAAAATAGTTTGTGAGCGTCCCAACAGGGAATCGAAGGTCTCTGGTTTGATATCCCCAGGGCTTTCAACATTATTAAAATATGGGTTAAGTTTTGACAACTTTTCAAGTGTGTCCCGTTTGGGAGGTGTGTCCCGTTTGACTCCATCAGTTTGTAGTCAGTTAAGCTTGTTTACTGCAGTATAGGAATGGATGAAATTCTTGTTGAAACGAAACGCGTCATTAAAAGACGCTAAAACGTCAGAATTTTGATGAATCCTTCGATTCTACTGAAATTGTAGTTTTAGTTTTCAGATGGTTTTCAGTAAAAAAACACTTATATGTTTGTTCTAGCTATTTTCTTGCCCGTGGTTTAGAGGTGGATGAGTGTCTCTATAGAGCGATCCCAAAAGCTCAGTGGTTTTTAGCAAATGACTTGACACCATTTGGAAAAGCCACAGTTATATGATGACCTACAAATGTGTAAATAACCTTGCATCGATTACCTGTGCAATAAGTTTAGGAAAAGGTCATCAATTAATCCATAAACGTCAGACTCGCATACAGGACTCTCTGCAAATACCACTCTTCAAAACTGTAGCTGGTCAATTATACGCTTGTTTGGCTATAGAGCTGTCCACATTTGGAACAATTTAGATAAAAACCTGAAAGATAGCGCTTCCTTTAAAATCTTCAAGACAGCACTTAAAAAACATTTGCTTGTCAAGGAGAACGTTTAATAACTTACTAAACTTTGTGCATGGTCGACAAAAAAATTGTAAATAATTTCTGAAAAACCCTTTCAGGGAGAAATTTTATTAAATATGTATCTATCGATATGTTTCTCCATATACAGTAATTTATACCATAACTTATATATCTGAATGCTTATGACACGTACCCAGAATAATGATAAAGTTTTATTATAAATTGTTCTGTAGAAGATGACAAATTCATATTGTGAGCCAGGGACTAGTAGCAGCTCAGTAAGTAATTATGTTACTTCAATACTTGTATATGTTGTATATTGCATCATAATACAGAATATGTACATTGCAGTGTAAAAATTGTGTTCACTAATTAACAATTATTTGCCGAAGGCGAGGTGAATATCAGTGAATAAAAAACGAGACGGAGTCGATGTTTTTATTCACGATAATCACCGAGCCCGAGGTGAATAATTGTTTTAGTACAATTTCATAGGTGATTATTTGGAAAAAAATAAAAATACACATTTTCATTTATCGCTTTCTGTAAAAATTATCGCTTTTCAAAGACTGTCTTTATATAATAAACAGAAAAATACACGTGTGCTTGGAAATACCAGATTTATTTCTCGTGTTGAACATTATATCTCACTCGTTCGCTGCGCTCACCCGTGGGATATCATGTTCAACACTCGAAATAAATCTGGTATTACCGCGCACCCATGTATTATTCTCTATATAATCACCTCAACAGCGTGGAGAATTGTCAATAATTACCTATGTAAGTATACTTATAGAAAATATGCACATTTTGTTTGATTTAGAATGGTGAGCGACAGGGAACTTCGTCCAAATCAGTGAGTATGACTAGTGCTGATGTTCAAATAATAAATTATTGCTGTGATGCAGTGTTCTTGTTGGCAATGAATACGAGTAACGCGATACCATTAACACTTTATAACAATGGATCATACCTATAAGCTACTGTATAGACGAAATTTTGATCTAGACAAGGAGAACGAAATCCATTACATGCGTAGCTGGAAAGAGCATCTTAAAATTGGTAAATTTGCAATGTTTGGTTGCGAGTTGTGGTAAAATGAGGAAAATACACTGTACAGCCCTGTGAAGTTCGCAAATTTTGTATATATTTGCATTATACGCGCGGGAAAAATAACCATTTTTGAGCCGAAAGTGGTTATTTTTACCGCGCGTAATACAAATATATACAAAATTTGCGAACTTCAGAGGGCTATATTTTCTTCATTTTACAACATTAAGCAACCAATCTTTGCATGCAGGTTTACTTATTCTAAGACGCCCTGTCTAGCTGTGGTGTTGGATTTCGGAATCACCCCTTATATACACTTTATTAATAATACTGTTAAGCCTGGTTCACATATGTCTGCGATATGCCTGCGACGTCATTGTTTAGCTATTGATGCATAGATTCTTTTATGAATTATTTGGTCGAACTGCTAAAGACAATAGCCTGCCGACACATCGCAGACATATATGAACCAGGCTTTACACGGGACTTCCGTGCAATTGTTGGTAGTAAAGGTGGTACTGGCTATTGTCCTCTCTTGGACAACCATTTCGTTTGTTTTCTTTCATACGATTGTTCAGCGCCCAACTGTATATGCTTTCATTTTGCCTTTATTTACAGAGCTACAAATCTTTTACCAAGAATATTTTAAAGTATACTGTATCAAGGTTAGAAACCTATTGCTCTTGATTTAGCTAAAATTTCTACCATTCTACATATGTATCTTGAATTTTTATACTGTAGTTCTAAATATTTAAATTGTATTTATTTTCTCAGAGGCCGAAGTCGACATGTTGATCATGAATTTGACCTGGATTTAACTTATATCACAGATCGGATTATTGGTAAGTCTTTGGACAAATGCTTGTTTAGTATCAAATTAAATATATGCCAAAGAAAATAAGTTTTTCTCATTTGATAGAAGTTTTAAAATTATACAGGGTGTATAAAAAAATAGACAATTTTGAAACGGCTCTCAATTTCACAAATTGGTTCACGTCATGAGTTCTTTTATCAATATAGATTGTTTGGGTACTTAATATAATATAGAATAAACAAATTTTTTTCGTAAAGATAAATTTTCCAGATGGGTCCTTTTTAGCAGCATTAAAAATAGCTTCCGCGCGAGATTTAAAAGTTTAAAAACGCATTTTGAGTTCATAAGCGAGAAATTTGCATATAAAACATATATAGTTTTAAAAGTTCTTTCAAAGTTTTTTTTACAGTACGTGTGAAGCCCATTGAGGAAATATCTTGTTGACAAGTTGTTCGAACGGCATTGTCACAACTTGTTAACAAGCTTGCTACAAGCCTGTTGAGGAAATATCTTGTTGACAAGTTGTTCGAACAGCATTGTCACAACTTGTTAACAAGCTTGCTACAAGCCCGTTGAGGAAATATCTTGTTGACAAGTTGTTCGAACAGCATTGTCACAACTTGTTAACAAGCTTCCTACAAGCCCGTTGAGCAGATATCTTGTTGACAAGTTGTTGGAACAGCATCGTCACAACTTGTTAACAAGCTTGCTACAAGCCCGTTGAGGAAATATCTTGTTCACAAGTTGTTGGAACAGCATCGTCACAACTTGTTAACAAGCTTGCTACAAGCCCGTTGAGGAAATATCTTGTTCACAAGTTGTTCGAACAGAATTGTCACAACTTGTTAACAAGCTTGCTACAAGCCCGTTGAACAGATATCTTGTTGACAAGTTGTTGGAACAGCATCGTCACAACTTGTTAACAAGCTTGCTACAAGCCTGTTCAGGAAATATCTTGTTCACAAGTTGTTGGAACAGCATTGTCACAACTTGTTAACAAGCTTGCTACAAGCCCGTTGAGGAAATATCTTTTTGACAAGTTGTTGGAACAGCACTGTTACAACTTGTTAACAAGCTTGCTACAAGCCTGTTGAGAAGATATCTTCTTGACAACCTGTTGGAACAGCATTGTCACAACTTGTTAACAAGCTTGCTGCAAGCCTGTTGAGAAGATATCTTGTTGACAAGCTGTTGGAACAGCATTGTCAGAACTTGTTAACAAGCTTGCTACAAGCCCGTTGAGGAAATATCTTTTTGACAAGTTGTTGGAACAGCACTGTTACAACTTGTTAACAAGCTTGCTACAAGCCTGTTGAGAAGATATCTTGTTGACAAGCTGTTGAAACAGCATTGCCACAACTTGTTAACAAGCTTGCTACAAGCCCGTTGAGCAGATATCTTGTTGACAAGTTTTTGGAACAGCATCGTCACAACTTGCTAACAAGCTTGCTTCAAGCCCGTTGAGGAAATATCTTTTTGACAAGTTGTTGGAACAGCACTGTTACAACTTGTTAACAAGCTTGCTACAAGCCTGTTGAGAAGATATCTTGTTGACAAGCTGTTGGAACAGCATTGCCACAACTTGTTAACAAGCTTGCTACAAGCGCGTTGAGCAGATATCTTGTTGACAAGTTCTTGGAACAGCATCGTCATGACCAACTTGTTAACAAGCTTGCTACAAGCCCGTTCAGGAAATATCTTGTTCACAAGTTGTTGGAACAGCATTGTCACAACTTGTTAACAAGCTTGCAACAAGCCCATTGAGGAAATATCTTGTCCACAAGTTGTTGGAACATCATTGTCACAACGTATTAACATGCTTGCAACAAGCCCGTTGAGGAAATATCTTGTTCACAAGTTGTTGGAACAGCATTGTCACAACTTGTTAACAAGCTTGCTACAAACCCGTTGAGCAGATATCTTTTTGACAAGTTGTTGGAACAGCATTGTCACAACTTGTTAACAAGCTTGCTACAAGCCCGTTGAGGAGATATCTTGTTGACAAGTTTTTGGAACAGCATCGTCACAACTTGTTAACAAGCTCGCTACAAGCCCGTTGAGGAAATGTCTTGTTGACAAGTTGTTGGAACAGCATTCTGTTAACAAGCTTCTTACAAGCCCGTTGAGCAGATATCTTCTTCACAAGTTTTTGGAACAGCATTGTCACAACTTGTTAACAAGCTTGCTACAAGCCCGTTGAGCAGATACCGTTTTGACAAGTTTTTGGAACAGCATTGTCACAACTTGTTAACAAGCTTGCTACAAGCCCGTTGAGGAAATATCTTTTTGACAAGTTGTTCGAACAGCA